GTGGACGTGGCAAGAGCAAGGAAACACAAAGCTTTTAAACGAAAAGCTTTGAAAAGTAGCGATGGTCCCTAAACACCATCATATTCAAACAAATCATCATGTATTAAAAGTTTTTTTTTTTTTCTTTTTTTTTTTTGAAAGTTTAGGATTGTTACACCTATCATTGAGGTCGAGGTACAGTCAACATTTGTCGGCTTAACAGTATCCAACTACCAATGGGTGACCCATTGCGTAGTGGTCAATGTCACAGTATATCACAGTTTATTTGTATCACAGTGTTTTCTCAGTAACAGTGTCACTACTAATGGGTGTCCCATTACGTAGTGGTCAGTATCACATCAGTATCCCAGTATCGCATTATCACATTCCAATATCACAGTATCAGTGTCACATTATGACGATATCAGTATCTCAGTATGACAGTAGCAGCATCACAGTATAATAGTAGCAGAATCACAATATGACAGTAGCAATATCACAATATGGCAGTAGTATTATCACAGTATAATAGTAGCAGTATCTCAGTTTTAATATCACAATTCACATTTCCTGTCATTTCAGACAGTGACGTCCGACCATAAAGAGGGTTGTCATTTTTGATCTATTTGGAATTTGGGGAAAGTTTCAAAACTAATTTTACACTAGACACATATCTTTCAAATGGGGTGGTTTGAAATCATTTGGACCCCATTTGCCTCTTCAAAAGTTCAAAGCAATGGTGGTTCACTATCTGTGCCCTGTTGTAGCATTGTTATAACTTCCAATCCATAGGATGTTTTAAAATAGTTCTAAAACCAAAATTCGGGTAAAAATACATATCTTTCTAACAATAGTAGTTTAAAAATTATTGGATGCTATTTATTGATTCAAAAGTCAATGACAACCAAACTGATGGTTATGAGTTTTAGTAAAATCTGTCCATAGTGACATGCCTTCACTGATAATTTAGGAGGAATTTTGAAATAATTTATGCATGCAACTTTAAGCCTACTCAGATATCTTTCATATGGCAATGATTTGAGAGAAAATATATTTCATTTGGTTAGTCAAAACCAATGGCAACAACGGTGATAATTAAAATACTCGAGAAACACAGTCAATAGTAACATGCTTATATATATTGGAATATAACTTCATATTTATAACGAATTTCAACAATGAGTAAATATGAACATTTTAATAAACTCACATATCTTTCTAATAATAGTAATTTGATGTCATTTGGACCTCATTTAGCTATCCAAAACCTACTAAAAAAACATATATGTTCCTAGAATTTCACAGTAACACTTAACATCCTTCAAGAACAGGCTCCATAACTTTTAATTCTTAGTGAATAATATCATAATAACTGTTCCTTCTTAATATACACACATACATATACATTTTTTTTTCTACATAATTTTGTAAGCCATAGATTCATTCTCAACACCAAAAATCATCATACAATAAAGGCACCATTTCAAAGAAACAAGGCATAGAAATTGCTACAATACATTCAATATTTATCACCCATCTCATACTTGTAGATATTTAATTTCATGCCTTCTCGTAGCATTGGTGCAATGATGGTTAATCCACTTACTTAATGAGAAGGGTTGCCTCCAAAATCCCCCGTCACAGCTTCCTTCCAGCTCCTTTCAAGGCTCCAAAAGTGCAGTCACATTGAGCTCATAATGGCTCTAACTGTTGGCTCTTAAAGAGAGAGTGAGGGAAATAAAAATGGCATGAGAGTGAGTGTGAGAGGCTTAAGTACTTGCTGGCTGGGTGGCAGCCCAAAGCTAGACAAGTGGCAAGCACCACTCATGCACAAGGATAAGTGCTGTGTGTGGCAGCCCAAAGCTGGACAAGTGGCAAGCACCACTCATGCACAAGGACAAGTGTTGTGAGTGGCAGCCTGCATCTGGCACGAGACAAATTTTGTTCATGCATAGCAGTGTAATACACGGCGTTGCTCTTCTTTCTCTCTTCACATACAACGTTGCCCTTCTCTCTTCTCAAACGATATTGCCCTTCTCTCTTCTCAAACGGCGTTGCCTCTCCCTCTTCATAGCCGGCGCTGTCCCTCTCTCTTCTCAAACGGCGTTGCCTCTCTCTCTTCACAGCCGGCACTGCCCCTCTCTCTTCTCAAACGACATTGCCTTTCTCTCTTCACAGCCGGCGCTGCCTCTCTCTCTTCTCAAACGGCGTTGCCCTTCTTTCCACAGACGACATTGCCTCTCTCTCTCTTTTATCAAACGGCGTTGCCCTTCTGTATTCATAGACTCCTACCGTCGTGTGCCTTCCCAAGGCCGAGAAGTCTTGGTCTTTGCAGTCAATTTTCAAGATTTTCAAGTTTTCATAGATCTATTTGATCTACATTATTTTTTAAGTTTTAAATTTTTTAATTAAAGATGAAAATATATTTTAAGGCTATCGCAAAGATTTTCAATATTGAAATCACATTTCTCGATACTATTTGAAGGAGGGCTTTGCAGATGAAGATATGAAAGGTTTTAAGACTAGATGATATCCTGATAGAAGTATAAAAGTGCATGGGAGAGACTGGCATATGCTGGCTAACCAAGTTGTTCAATAAGTTGTCAAAAATAAAAAAAATGATAGTTGTAATACCAACCATGCTTTTTATGGGATGGAATGTTGAGTAATAAAAAAATAACATATATCCATAGGATAAGTGCAATTGAGATGAAGATGCAGAGATGTATGAGTAGCAAGATAAGAAATGATAGAATACAAATGAATACATTCGGGAGAACTTAGGTATGGCCTTAATAGGCAATAAGATAATGAAAAGTAGACTTAAATGGGCTGGCTATGTGCATCATAGACCTAATACAACACTAGTTAGGAGGTGTGATTTGATTCAAGTGAAAGGCTCTAAAAAGGAAAAAAGAAGGCCCGATAAACGATGAATGGTAGTGGAAAAAAGATATAATGACTTATGTTCTTACTGGAGATATGGCCCTTGATAAAAACAAATGAGGGAACATGATTTTGTGTAGCCAAACTCAAATAGTTGATGTAAAGCTCATATGATGATGAGAACAACCATATTAGTGTTTCAAAGTAAAAAAAGATGAATTTTCAATTCCCAAATACTTGGATCTAATTACTGAAAATCCAATAAATTTGTGTAGTCCCTAGGCGACCCCATTTGCTTCTCGATAAACATGTCTAAATGATACCTCCATTTAACTACAAATTTGTCTAGTCCGAGATGTTCTTTTTGCAGGGTGGCTATAAGTTTTAAACTTTTTAAAGTTGGTCACTGAATTGAGTAGGTTACTTCTTGAAATATAATCCAATAGGGGGTTTTTCTAAGGTATTGTAAGAATGCTCGATATGTTGTGCTCCCACAGGACCATATAATATATATATATATTTTTTTGTTTCTCTCTCGACATCTAAGGATTGTGTATAACGAGCACATATCTCATGATCATGTCGGGTCATACTGTGCATCAATTCCATTGGGCAAAAGAGATACTGTAGGGGGACTTTTTGTTTTTAAAATTTTAGGATCCAACTATGTATCACTTATTTTTCAAAAGTAAAAATAAATATAAAAATTTGAGCTTTTCAGCGCTTAGTTCTGGCCCTCGAGAAATTAGACGTTCCTTGTTCGATCTACTAACCCAAAAACAAAGCCGCCCCTTTTTCATTTAAGTTATTTTTTCATGCACATAAAATATGCGATTTGATTTTTGTTTGAGGTTGATCACTATATTCAAGAAGTTACATCGTAAAAACAATGCTACCTCGAGATTTACCCAAGGGAGCAATACACAGTACAATCCCGTGGGCCAGTATACTTTTTTGGGATAAGGTTATTTTCATCACCCTCCTTAATAGAAGGAAAATTATGAACACCGAAAATTGCATAAAATCCCCCAAAAAAATAGTTACCCCAACCTAAACTTTTTTTTGGCAACTTTTTCCCTAAAACCATGTTTCCTAGCAAATACCCCTAACTCAAAAAAAAAAAAAAAAACCTAAAATACCCCTCCTTTACCTCACACGTTGACCATGGCTGTGCGACACTTCACCATCGCGGTCCGGCGTTTAGAAGAGGCGTGCCGGCACTGAAGTCACTGGATTTGGAGTGGTCCGACACTTCACTATGGTGGTCCGACGTTTGGAAGAGGCAGTCTGGCACTTAAGTCACTGATTTGGAACAGTCCGGCACTTCATCATGGTAGTTCGACACTTCACCATGGCAGTCCGAGGCTTATGTCACTAGAGTGTGTGGTCTGGCGATTATGTCACTAGAGTAATGGTTGTTCTGGCATTTTACAAGTGTGATCCGGCATTTGTTTATGGATTAATGAGCAGTTTGGCATTTGTGAGCTACGGTCCGAAAAAATTGTGTCTAGAATAGGTAGCTCGGCAGTGTATAGTTCCGGTCCGGTAAAATGGATAGGTCCGACAATATACAACCGCAGTTCGACGTTTCCTTTTAGTGGGATCTGAAAATGATTTGTTATGTACAAAAAAGGTATTTTCGTTAAAAAAAAAAAAGACTTTTTTTATTAGGGTTATTTGCTAAGAAGTATTTGGATGAGTCGGCTGACTCACCTATTATTATGCGGTCTCTCTCCGAAATATATTTCAAAGATGTATTTTCAATCGAAGATTGTAGGGTTTGATAATCTCAACCACAACAATGATTTAGAATTGATATTTTTTTCAAGAAATATAAATATTATTTTTTAAAATATTTTTTTCACCATTGATCGTAACTTTTAAAGAGACGTAATATTCATCCGTCTTGGAGATGGACGGTTGATAGACAAGAAACCGCACGGTAATAGGTGAGTCGGCTGACCCACCAAAACCGTGTGCTTCGTATAATTTGTCGTTATGGACGAGGGATTAAGAATCGCGTGAACCGGCGGCGACAAGCGGGAAGAGGGTTATTTTGGTCATTCTTAGAAAATTGGTATTAATGAAGTCCAATTTCGAAAATCCTGATCTATAATATATTAGGGCGGCAAAGCCTCTCTCAAAACCAGTCGACCCCATAGGGATTCCCCTGAATCTGTAAATTATTTGATCCTCAAACTTCAAATTAGGGTTTCAGAAAACTAGGGTTTAAAGGAAAGAATCGGGGTTTCTAAAGAATAAGGGATTCGCAACTTAGAGTTTCGGAGAATTGGGTTATTTGCTTGTTTGTATTAGTTGCAGAGGAGCTAGAATGGGAAGGCCTAAAGGCGATGGGAATCGGAGCAAAACCCGCCCCTCCAGTAGTAGGTAGATTAATTTCTCTGAAGTTCATCAATTTGACGACTCTCAATTGATTTACATCTTGCTTTACTCTCTAAAGTTCAAACCCGTTAATTTATCTTTCTTTTCCTAGTTATTCGTGTTTTATATTTCGATGACTAGTAATTTCCAATATTTCATGAATTTGTAGCCTTGCAGCGTCGCTTCTGCCATCAGGGTCAGCTAACGTTGGTTTTGGTGGATTTATTGGGAGCTCTCGGCTCGAATTTCCTCAATCAACTGAAGAGATCACACCTCCTGTAAAACAAATTGTATCTTTTAATATATTTTCAATATATTTGAAGGGCCCTGCTTATGCTTCAACTTATGGGTTTTAAAATTCTACTTTTAGCTGATAATTTATACTGATAGTGTGTTATATTTGTTTGTTCCATTAGTTTCTTTTAATTGTTGCCACGTTGGAAATTTACATAGGATGTGGATGGTGAAGTGGCTCAGCACTTAAAAAGGCTTGGAAGAAAGGATCCTATAACAAAGGTAATATTCCCTGTGTTTCTATCCTTAATAGTTTAATAAAATGACTACTCTTTGTTATGTATTTTCTATATGGATTTTGGTATCAAAATCAGGCCTTGCATGCATTTCTCAACTGTGTATGGGTTGCTATTTTATTGGCTTGCTTGAATTTATCCACAATTGGAGATACTTGTTCGTGTTGTTCCATGAACCCAGGTGGCTCCTAACATTTTGAACTACATGTGCTCCTATGCCTTTAATAATTAATGTGGAGAAGAAAATTTGACTTTCATTTAGAATTTTGTACATTTCAACAGCATTCGAGTACTTGTTCTCCTACACCATAAGTAATATAAATGATTTCCATTGTGATTGATATTCTTATATTTACCGTGATCATTTGATGAATCTATCTCGCTCTTTGTTCATGTAGCTTAAAGCTTTGACATCTCTGTGTACACTCTTCAAGCAAAAAGAGGGACAGGAAATTGTACAAATTGTTCCACAGTGGGTATGACACATAATATCCTTGACAATGTCTTTTATTTTACCAAATAATTCATTTTTAAAGAGGTGTTTGTGTATGATAAAGTTAGAGTCCATGTTATCTATGTCAACATGTAGAAACTAGTATTCTTTCTCAAGTGCACATTTTAATGTTTCATTAGTTATCTTTTTCCTTTTTTTTTTTTTTTGAGTAATTCTAGGTTATCTATGTTGATATGTATGTTTTCTACTTTTCCAATATCCAGGCATTTGAGTATAAGAAACTTTTGTATGACAACAATAGAGAGGTTCGGCGTGCTACCCATGAGGCCATGACTAGTCTTGTTGCCACTATTGGGTATGATCTTATCTTATACATTTCATCACCTTCATGGTCCTCTTGGTAATTTAGCTCTGCAGATGCTTGAGCAAGATAATGATTTGGGTGTGGTGTTAGGAGTTATATTTTGAATATTCATGTTATGAAATATCTCAGCTGAAAAGTACGAATGGTGGGTTGTGTGATGATACTCATTGTTCAAGTGTTAAATGTCATGGATATCACCGGAAATAGCTGGATGGCATGAGTACTATTTTTGGTTGCATTAAGACTAAGAAACTTCTTCGCTCTGAATCACAAATTAATTACATCTCAATAATGGAAAAGTATTAAGTGTGAATCAGATGTTGAAATCATGAAACTTTGAAAATACGGAATCATGTATGGTTGTTGTGTTGATCGTCTAGCTGCAGCACATTCGAAAAGAAAAAATTTCACAATTCTTTTGAGATATGTGAAACAGAAGGGAATTGCATTTGTTACATAAAGATTAGGGCACTGGAAACAGAAACAATACATTTGCCAAATGGATCATGTGCAATATCTGCAAGGTTAAACATTTTACCAAACAAGTCTGTTTTAATACTTCTAGAAATGTATTTTGTGCTTGCTGCTTATTCGTAGGTTTTTTTTTTATTGTATTTTTTCATAATGAAATGTTAGATGCCATTCGTAGTGCTCTTAATAATATCTATTGGCTCAATGGTATCCAGCATTGGTCCTTTCTTTCAGTTCATATGATGCTGGACCGTGTTACTCACGAAAATCATTCATATATGTGAAATTTGCCCCCAGGGGAACCACCTTAATCTTTTATTTTGGCTTGTGAAAGCTACCTTTAAGTTCTTTTCTATGGAGAAATTTGATATATGTTTATTATAACTTGTTTTATTGCGCACTTAAAAATTAATCTGAAATGCCTAACACTTGAGCATCACACTGCAACAAAGTTTTTGATACTGAAGTTTGTGTTCTTTATCAGGAGGGGTTTGGCTCCGCATCTGAAGTCCTTAATGGGCCCATGGTGGTTTTCTCAGTTTGATCCTGTGCCTGAGATTTCTCAAGCAGCAAGGAAATCCTTGCAGGTTTGAAAATTAAATTATTCCTGCATTATTGATGGTAAATAAGATTCACAAGACTTTATTCACAGATCTTGTGAGCTTGTGCTTCTCAAAAATAATTTCTCTGTATTCCTTTTGTCTCTGAGTCAATGATGTATCCATGAAATTTAGATTCAAAATGAGTACATTTGGGAGAACTTAGGTTTGACTCCACTAGGTGATAAGATGAGAAAAAGAAGACTTAGGGGGATTAGCCATGTGGAGTGCAGACCCAGTACAACACCTATTAGGAGGAGGAGCGAGTTGGTTCCAGTGGAAGGCTAAAAAAGGGCAAGGGGTATACCCAAAAGGACATGGTTGGAAGTAAGGAGAAAATTATGACAACTTATTATCTCACTAAGAGTATTGGCCCTTGATAGAGAAGAAAGGTGGACCAGGATTCGTGTAGTCGACCCCAAATAGTTGAAAAAAGGCTCGGACGATGATGAAGTTGGACCAGAGTCCCTTTGGTATAAGTTTGGGGATTTGTATACTACATGTCCTGAGTTAGTTCAAGTATGTGGGCTCATACCTCAGGCTGTATTTGGTTCTAGTCTCCTCACTAGTAGATGCCTGAAGGCCTCTTGACTGCAAATAAGATTTCAGACGGCCCCATCTACAATAAACACTAACTGCTATTTTCCCTACCTTGATGATGCTCCACCTTGTTATGTTATCGGTTTTTTTTGTTATGCTATTTGTTTTCATGATGGACTCTAAAGGCATCATTTCCTTTGAAGTACTCCTGCACCAAGATATGGATATCACACTGATTCACGCGTTACTTATTTTCATTTCTTTAGTTTCAAGAAAGGCGAAAATAGTCACAAAGTATTTTAACTCGAACCAAACTTGAGTCTTTGGTACTAACTAGTTTTTATCCCCCTAAGGGTTCCCTAGTTTCATTTGTAATTGTTAAATTTTCTGGCAGCACATTTCCATGCTAGGTAACTAATTTCATCAATTACAAACATGGATATATTAAATTGGAGAGTTCTCTTTAATCTGCGGACCATCCTCAAAGAATATGAGCATTCTCCTCAGGGCCAAAATTTTTGTGTCTTGGGCTAGTATCTATGTTCTTTCTTTTCAACATTCTGACTTGAGTTCATAAATAGGCCGACTGTTTGTTATATGTGTAACAGGCTGCCTTTCCAGCACAAGAAAAAAGATTGGAGGCCTTATTTCTATGTACAAGTGACGTTTTCTTGTATTTGGATGAGAACCTAAAGCTCACGCCACAGGCAATGTCTGATAAAGCAGTTCCTAAGGATGAGTTGGTGGAGATGCATCAACGAGTATGTATTAGCCTTGTCCATAGTCGTCTTTACAGACATATTGTATAGTTTATCAATGATTCTGCATTGCACTTAATATATTCTTTTTTCGCTCTGTCAACAGAAAATAATTTACATGGTTATTGGCTGTTCAACATGCTGACTTGTGACCTATTTTGTGCATTCTTTTTGGTATTCAATTGTAGGTCATCTCTTCATCATTGCTGGCATTGGCTACTCTTATTGATATCATCTTGGGAATGAAATTCCAAAGATCTGACACTGAAAGTGCAACTTCTGAACGAAAAAATTCTGCCAAGGCCAAGGCAGCTGTAGCTGCAGCTGCTATTGTGGAAACGATGTTCACTACACATAAACGTTTTCTTGAGATTCTCAAGTCCCCAAGTCCAGGAGTTCGCTCAGCTACATATACTGTTCTAGGGAGTTTCATAAAACATGTTCCTCATGTTTTTGGTGAAGGGGACATGAAGGTCATTTCTTCTACAATTCTAGGATCGTTCCAAGAAAAGGATCCTACATGCCATTCTTCAATGTGGGATGCTATCTTGTTGCTCTGCAAAAGATTTCCAGAGTGTTGGTCCCTTTGTGCAGTTAATAAGAATGTGCTTCCACGATTTTGGAGTTTCTTAAGGCATGGTTGTTATGGATCACAGCAAATTTCATACCCAATTTTGATCACTTTCTTAGATTGTATACCCACCAAAGTCCTTGCTGGAGATAAATTTTTGCTGGATCTCTTCCAGAATCTATGGACAGGAAGATCTACCTGCTATTCATCTGCAGATCGTATGGCTTTCTTCAAGGCATTTAGGGAATGCTTTCTCTGGGGAATAACTCATGCATCAAGGTTTGAATCACTTCCATAACTTTCATTCAAATGTCATGACAATGCTCTATACCATTTCTTTTGATAGGTAGTCTGCTTTACTGTTGAGCGATGTTAAATTGTTGTTTTTGTTCATCAATAATGGACTGAACTACATATTCCATGTTCTTTTTTTGTTTTTTGGGTAGTTCAGCTGTAAGTTTGAACCTGGGTTATAATGGTGCAATTGTCAACAACGTAAACTGTCAGGCCTGAGAAAGAACCTTACTTAGTACATGTTTTGTAATTGAAGAATAATGGACATCTTTTTCTTTAATTAAACGTAACTTGTTAGTTCTCACTTCTTATTTATCTTCCAAACTTAGCTGTTGGATTCAAAATTCTTGGGACCACCAAGTATGAGCTGCCTTGGTTTTTCTTTACCTGTGCAGATATGTTAAAAGAGAAGACGATGTTACTAAGTTCCAACTCTTACTTATTGAACGAGTCCTTTTCATGCTTTTATGGCGTGAATACTTTTCGGGAGGAAACCAAGTTGAACGAGATGGACTTGTTGGATCCATCAATGGTCTCATTGGGAACAATCGTGATCAGAATCCAGAAAGTCCACTGGATATGCGGAATATTAAGCAATCTCAGAGTTACATACAGGACTTGGGAAATTATGTAGCTCAAATTTTGTCAGATATCTTTAGGAAGGGACACATTATGCTCGATGCATTTTGTGTGTCATTTCAAAGAGACTGTCTGGAGGCAATTAAGCAATTAGGGTGCCCAGAAAAATCAACCAAGCATGTGGAACAAATTATTAGCTTTATGTGGTTATTGGAGAAACAGGCGGTGCAAAAAGGTGAAAATTGGCCTCTAGTTTACTTAGTGGGACCTCTGCTGTCAGAGTCTTTTCCATTGATTAAATCAGTGGTAAGTGAAAAGTTGGTTCTGTGTTTAGTGATCACTTGCTTTGCGTTCTTTTTGTTGTAGATTCTTTTGTTTGTGTAAAGTATTATAATAATTAGTTTCTTTTATAAAGTAGCAACAATTATCTTAATCTTGTTATGTCTACATTCATGGCAGTTTTGCTAACTATGAATAGGAATCTGAAACTGGTTGATTTAAGAGCCTATGCTTTATATTCGTTATGCAATAAATGAATTGGTACAATCCTTGTCTGACTTGCATCTGGATCATATCAAACAGGACCTACCAGCTGCTGTCAAACTATTATCTGTTGCCGTTGCAATATTTGGAGCCAGGTCTGTAGTTCCCTGGTTCTTGTCTTATGGCAGAGAGGTATCTCACAAACTTTTTGTTGATGGAGAAGATTCCAAGCTAAAGCCAGAGGTGTTTTTGCAAATTTTTGAGGATGATTTTGTTCTATGGTGTTTGCATGGAGGAGACAGTTCCTCTCTTAGTGCACGGCTAGATTTTTTGCTTTCTTTACTTGAAGACACTCTTTTCTATGATCAATGGCGAAGGATTCTTGTGCATGCTACTAACCTAGAGGATCTCTCTCAGACTGATTCGAATTCTTTGGATGTTGATCGTGTTGGTGTGCTAGCATTGCTCATGGAGAAAGTGAGAAGAAGAACTGGCAACAAAGAATTTGGATGTGAGTCAAGTGATTCAAAGGGTTATCTTCCAGAACACTTTCAACATGAATTATTAGACTCAGCAGCCGTTTGTGTTTCCCGTCATCCTTTAGGCATCTATCCATCTTGTGCACGTTTTCTTGGGTATCTCAACTCTGCCTTTTCTCTCTTTTATGATTATGAAGATTTTGTAATGTTTGGACTTCATTATTTATGTAGTATATATCTAAATATTCTTTTAAGAGAAGATACATGAGGTTCCATGTCCAGATCATGTTCATTATAAATTAAGCAATCACATGTCATTGCTGGAGCAAATTGGTGGGGATGCCAATTGTTAGATGACTTGTTTTTTTTTCTTTATTGAACTTCTATCTAGGATTTTTGGTGCTCTATTGTTCATGGATCGGATATGTTTTGCTTTATCTAACTTGGATAGCAATAGCGATGCATTTAAACTCATCATGGTTTTTAATTTCTATTTTGTCTTTTTTTTTTAACTTCTGTATTATTGCTTGCCTGACAATTTGTACTTGTTTGGAATTAAAGTCATACCATCCTTATTCACCATTGGACCAGATCGACCCCTGTTTTTATTCTATCATCCTTATTCACCATTAAAGTGGATCACCCCCCTGCTTTTAAAATGTTCCTGGTCCGTCACCCTTTAGAGTTGATTTTCATCTTTGCCCTTGTTAATTGACTCTAGTTCACCATTGGATCCGATGGGCCCCTGTTTTTAATCGATCGTCCCTATTTACTATTAAAGTGGATCAGCCCCCCGCTGTTAAGAGGTTCCTGATCCCTTAACCCCTAGAGTTGATTTTCATTTTTGACCTTGTTAATCAACTCTAGTTCTTTATACAGTGAGAATATGAATTTATAAATGCGAGGGTCTCTGTATTGTGTTCTCCATTAAGAGCGAGTAAGGTAGATCTTTGTGCAGGATGCTTTTAGATTTATGAATGGACTGGCTTAGAACTGCAAATTACTCTTGTGTCAAGGATGAATGAAATAAACAAAGGATGCCTGAAGCCATGAAAAATCCCAAACTGTAAGCAATCTTCCTTGACATCCATGTTACCCAGTTTGTTGGCCAGAAGTGTGAATATTAATAAAATAAATTCGAAAGGTTTACGAGTTAGCCAATTAACTATTTATTTTTATGAAAATCTTTCTCACTTGTGAGATTCCTTTTGGCCTTCATCAAGTTTAGTGAGTTACTCTCAACCATAGCCAGGCCATGAGACTCTTTTTTCAGATTAACAGGACGTCATTAGCTTTTGCCGAGTGGTATTTGAAATAGAGAATGGTCATACAAAACACTTAACTAGTATTCTGCCAGTATGTCGAATAACTATGCCTAAAACCTATAGTACCTTTTGGTTGTCTTTTGCAGCACCATATACAGGGGAGGAGGATTCTATTATGTAAATGGGTGTCACAGTTGATTAGAATTTTTATTTATTTTGACATATTGGTTTACAACTGTTGGTGTGTGTGTGCGTGTGCGTGCAGTGTCCCGTAGAATTTCTTAGGAATGTCCAGCTTGTTGACTTGGAAGTGCACTGTTATCCTTTTTCGTAATATTCTAGATAAATCTGTTGCATATCTGCATTAGTGGCAATATTGTACCACTCTTCAATGAATTATCTGATAGATTCTGATTAATAACATACACATGGCTATGCTTTTCTCCCTAAGTAATGAACTACATGTACCTAGGATTTATCCCTTCTTCTCTATATTTATTTATCTATATGACTTTCACATCATTGGTTCTTGGATTCTTTTAACTGACAATCCTCATACTTTCGCAGGGCGGTTCTTGGTGGCTCAGCAGAGGATGATCATATTTCTCTTCTTTCAAGAAATTCATTGATTATTGTATTTGAGGAACTTCAGAAAAAGTTAATTTCATTGTTGATGATCTCTTCTTTTACTTGGTCGAAGTATGCAAGCTCTCTCCTGATGTATAGGGAGACTAAAGACAGCCTAGAGAATCCAAGATTGCCCATCAGAGTGCTTGACATGGCTAAGTTTGCTCTAGAGGTTCTTGAGAGTAGTTTCTTCTGCCTTAAGAACTTCGATGAAAGTTGTGAATTGGTTCCATGTCTATTGGCTACTACTTTTTTTATTAAGTGGGAAAGCAGCATGATGACTCTGCACAATTTGAACATCAGTTTGGAGAGTTACAGGGACAAGGTTGATATAGAAGACCTTGTTTCAACATTAGCAGTTGTTGTTCCTGATAATATACGGGCAATGATTGATCTTGGAGAATCTACGCATGCAATCCATTCTAAAATAGGTGTTCGTTTCTGGAGGAGTCTCAGTTTGTACAGCATCCAACAATTAAGAAACATTTTGATTGCAACAATCAGATTCGCCCTTTTCAGTGAAGATGTGTATGAGACAGATAAGGTTTTTATTGTGTATTCGGAGTGGGTAGTGGAGATCCTTGGCCTCCTATCTAGAGACCATGATGAGGAGCAAGCTATGCTGGGCCATTTATTATCTCAAAGTGATTGCTGGCCTTTATGGGTTGAGCCGCTTGATGGTGAACCTGCAGCAGTCAGATTAAAGATCGAACATTTGTGTACAGATATGCAGGTCAGGATGAACCCGTTGATAATTTAATTGTGTAGATTAATGCTGTTTCAGTTTGACCGATTTTTCATGTCCATTGGTGAGGTGTTGGTTAGGGCTGGAAAAACTTTTAAAGTGGCAGCATATGCAAGTAGGTCGAGGTTGTGATTGAGTATTAATAGATTTTTCAAAGCCTCACTACCACATTTAAGGAAAAGAAGACATATATAGTTGTTGCTTCTGAGTCTTATGGGGAATAATAGAGGCAGCAGTCGGTTTATATGTTGGGATTTACTTTATTTGTTTGCTACGTTTATTTCCTGTGATCTGAACATATGTTGTTTTAAATGACAACCTTTATTTCTCATGTATTATATCTGGATTAAAAATTCCATTTATGTTATTCTCTTTAACTAGTGTTCAAGAGTTATCAGGGCTTACTATTAATCTAAAGCTCTTTGTTGTAGATATCGCGGCATCATCAGTTTGTTGCCTTTGTTGACAAGCTTGTTTCACGTCTTGGAGCCAGTAAACTTATTGGAGGTTCTTTCTTGGAGAATCAATCATCTTCATTGTCAGATGCACCTGTTGAGCTTGTCCCATCACCATCTGCTTGTTATCTTCGAATATGGCTTGCAGTGGAAATTTTGTGCACATGGAAGTGGCAAGGGGACAGTGCTTCGGGTTCCCTCTTACCATTTTTTACTGAGTGCGCAAGAAGGGGAAAGTCTTCTTCTGAAGGGAAGCTCTTAGATTCCATACTGATTGCTCTGCTTGATGGTGCCCTATTGCATGGAGCAAGCATTCCTCTGTGCTCTTTCAATGTATGGCCTGCTTCAGATGAAGACGTAGATAAAATTCAAGACCCATTCTTGCGTGTTCTTGTATCCCTGTTATTGACACTCTTTATCAAGAACTCTATCTGGGGAAAGGCCGATGCTTACGTATTTTTGGAATATCTTCTTAATAAACTATTCATTGGTTCAGCATTAAACAAATGCTGTTTGAGGATTTTGCCCTATATTTTAAATGTCCTTATGATACCATTGCACATGAAACATACTATGTCAGATGGAACTAACAGGGAACTTCCTTCTGATTCTCCAAATGAAGGATGGTTGCAATGTTCTGTTTCTGATTGGCTGCAAAAGTCTCTCACAGCTTCACCTATAACATTGTGGCCAACAGGGCAACCAGGTATATGAATCTTTGATTGAATTATTGCTCACACACATGTGAATAGATGTGTACAAGTGTGTAGCTGTCTATACCCAACTTGTGGGTTTGATTTAAAATAAAAAAAACCGTGTTCTATTTCATTATTTGTTTACTGTACACCTTTCTGTTATTGCAGAGTTGGAGGAATGGGTTCAAGTGGCCTTATCCTGTTACCCTTTAGGCCCAACAGGAGGAACATCAGCATTGAATTTGGATTCATCCAGAGATGTCAGCCATGAAGAGAAGAAGTTGTTATTGAATTTGTTTCGAAAGCAAAGATCTGATAAAGCCTTAGGTGGACGTGATACTGCAGTAAAAGTATCATTAGATATATGTTATAGTATGGAAAATCCATTATCATTGGCAGTTCAGATGACATTGGCAAAACTGTTGACAGTTTCAGTAGGTTACTGCTCGGATGAGTTCGATGAAGATGATTGGATATTTGTGCTGTCTCAGCTGCGTAGGTGGATAGAGGCTATAGTTGTTGCGTTGGAAGAAATGGCAGAGACTGTTGATTATGCTTTACAGAGTACTCCTGCATCTGACAACTCAGCAGGCTTTTTGGAAAAACTTGAGATAGCAGCTCAAGATTTAGACTCATCTTCAATCAATATTGCTAAGATAGCTCTTTTCATATTCTCTCGCATTTGCGGTCTTACCAAAACTGAAGGAGATAAGTTCGCCAAGAGTTTGGAGTCCTTAAGAACTGCAATGTGGGAAAATATAAGGGATCGAGTATTTGAAGATGTCCTTCGCATGTTCTTTGCAACGGGTGTAGCTGAATCAATTGCAAGTTCGTATGCTGAACAGGCTGCATCCATTGTAGCTTCTACGAGGCATGCACACTTAAGTTTTTGGGAGCTTGTGTCTGCGACAGTTGTTAATTCTCCTCATCATGCTAACAAGGTGGCAGTGAGATCTGCAGAATTGTGGGGACTCTCCAAAGGTCCAATCAGTTCTTTGTATGCAATCCTATTTTCCTCCAAACCTATTTCGTCGTTACAGTTTGCTGCTTACCATATCCTTTCCACTGCACCCATTCAACAATTGGCCATCACAAAAGAGGTTGGTGGCTTATGCTTAGATGATTCTGGTAATGAGGACCTTGAAAAGCCTCGTTATGCAGTTTCATCTTCTGAAGAACCATTTTCTTTGAGAGAAGAGATCTCTTGCATGATCAATAAAACACCATCAGAACTTGGCTTGGATCTAGAGGATCAAGATCTAGTAAGATCAACTCAATTCAACTGCCAGTTGCATTTAGCCTGTCTTTCCCATTAACGAGGACTTATTAGCATTTCATCTTTATGTGTTTAATGTTTGAGAGAAATATTTATGCATTGATGTTCTTGTCATTATAGGCAAATTATTTTGTGTCCTGGTCATTGTTGCTGACGTATCTTGAATCATTACCTTCATTATCACCTGCACGGGAGAGACTTATTCAGTATTTGCAAGATTCAGGGAGCCCTTCGACAATATTGGATTATCTGTTCTTGCATATTCCTCTAAAGCTGGGATCGTCAAATAATTTAAAGAAACGAGAGAGTGATACCTCAATTGAAACAACTAGGGCTACTTCTGCTGCAAAAGAGGCCATTAGGACTTCTTCTTCATTCTTTGTTGTGAAATCACTTTGGCCTGTTGGGCCTGAGGAGGTGTCCTCCCTTGCAGGTGCAATATATGGTTTGATGCTCCGCCTTTTGCCTGCCTTTGTGCGGAGTTGGTTCACCAGTTTACGTGACCGCTCTTTGTCATCTGCGATTGAAATTTTCACGAAAACATGGTGCAGTCCAGATCTTCTTTCTGATGAACTATCTCAGGTATGTAATTATGGTTAGAAGTGGGATTTTCTAGTGTCAACAATCTTGATAAAAATTAAACAACTCTGTTTGAGCCTCACAACCCCCAACTTAACAAAATTCTGGGGTTTTAATGAAGTTAATGCTATATGGTTATGACCAATAAGCAGGAGCTAGTATCAAATTGGACTCAGATAGTTCATCTGAAGCTTACTGTCATTAGTTTCATCCTACTGGTATCATTTGTCATACGTGCTTATAATTGCCCTTTATCATTACTCATTTCCTTCCTTCATAGTGTGTACATGCATAAGAATGACATGGAATTCTTGAATAAACCATCGGATCCATGGCATACAGGACATTGTAAAGCATGACAACATAGAATATTAGGATTCAGGTTCCCATATTTGAGCTGTCTTATGCATCCAAGCATTTTACATATTCCATTTGTTCTTATTGTTTTACTATTTATGGAAAATGGGGTTTTAAGTCTAATGATCAGCATTTCCAATTGCATTGGAGAAAGGACGTGAGGCTTGGAATATTAGTTAGGCTAGATTGTCAATCGTTCATGTTTTTCCCCTACAAGAGTTCATATTGGAGAGAGATACTGTAAATGTCATTCTGTTCTGTACATGATACAACTTTCATTGGATCAGTTAACTTCTTTTTTGGGTGAATAGGATGAGTTAACTCCATGTTGTACTTTTTGTCATCATTGAATTCCACTTAGTCTTTGTTTCTAGACATCAAATTTTTGTATCTACTGAGAATCAACTACAGTTAGGGGAGTTGGCTAATTTTCTAATTTTTGGGTAGATGGGTTGGTTTTAAACCTTGAACCTTAAGGTTGTGGCGATAAGCACCTTCCAGTGGAGCTATGTGCTTGAATGCTGATCTTGGCGTGGTCTTGGAAAGGAGTTTTTTATTTGTCACACCCATTGGTTCCCAGTAGATGGCAAAAGACTGATATTGGTACTCTGAGGGTTTTCTTGTGTTTTGGGGTAGCAATGGCTATTTTAGCTTAACACTAGCAAACTAGTATGAATATGCAATTTAAACTATGTATATCAATGAGCTTGTTGGTCAAAGTAGAGTGAGGACCTTAAACTTTTCAAGCCCGGGTAAATGGGGTGGGTTGTGTTAGGTAGGCAACCAATTAACACTTTGCCAAAACGTTCTATAAATCGTGAATCTACATTAGCCGACCCCAAATAGTTGGGAAAAGGCTCCGATGATGGCTTGTAGCATGGATGAAATTTGGCCAAAGTGGTTGCCTCTAGTTTTCACATCTATTTACTTGCTGCCAGTGCTGATATGGTTTGGTTCTTAAGAAAGACTTCTGCTTATCTGTCATTTCCAATAAGAATGGAAGAAATGGCATTTTCAATTTTATAAGTAAGGATTTTTTTACATTTATCGGCAGATCAAAGGGGTAGTTGTTGCTGATGAGAATTTGTCAATTAGTGTCAACAAATCAAATTACGAGGTCACAGCCATTTACAAAAAGGAAGAAGCTGGAATGGATTTGGTCATCCGTCTTCCCTCTTGTTACCCATTGCGCCCTGTGGATGTTGATTGCACAAGAATCCTGGGTATCAGTGAAACAAGACAGAGAAAATGGATGTTATCTATGGCTGCATTTGTTCGCAATCAGGTACTCTACTAAGTTCTAAATCCTTAAACTGGGTGGTCTTTCACATGACTAATTATTTGAAGGCTGTGAAAACATATTCTGTAGCTCCTCTAGTGGTAAGCGCATTCGTTAATTACATAAATTATCTGATTTTATTAATTCATTTTTTCCACAGTAGTTTCTTGCACTTTTATAATTATAGTTGGAGCTCTTGCTTCTTTGAGTTGACAATCATAGACGAAAATCTTCTGAAAATTATTTTGTACGTCAAAAAGAAGATAATATGTCTTTTATTCTTGAAATACAGTTCGCAATGGGCATGGATAGAGCTGTTACAATCAAACAAGTTTAAAAAGAGAAACTGCAAACTAAGAAAATGACCGCGTTAGCAATTTTGAAACTGTTTGATTGACTGAATCATTGTATAGAATTAGTTTCCGTACCTATATTCAGAATAAAACATATTGAATTGACCAGCATATCATGTCAATGGCTATCAGCACCCATTACAAAAATTAAGCTATTCATGACCTTATTCTACACTTGCTTTTGTTCATTTTTTTTTGTATTTCTTTAATTGCTTACTGCAAAAAGAATATCCTGTTATCATATTGCAATATTTGACTAACTTCCTTCTTGAGTGCTTTGCTTTCTATTTCATTTTTTGGTAATTATGGGAATGTTATGCTTTGTCAACAAACTTAAGCAATGCATTGATAATTTGATAGGAATTCCACCTATAGACAGTGTATGACCTCCCCTAAGAATTTGCTTTGGAAATATCTACAAGCTGAACTTTTAGTGAACTGGGCCCTTACTCTGTGAGATAGCCAAATTTGGGATTCACCAATTAAAAAGCAAAAAAATATATTGAGTTGTCTTTTGTCTTGGATGATGCAGAATGGAGCCCTGGCTGAGGCCATACATATATGGAAAAGTAATGTGGACAAAGAGTTCCAAGGTGTGGAAGAATGCCCAATTTGTTACAGTATCATCCACACTACTAACCATGGCCTCCCTCGCCTTGCCTGCAAGACCTGCAAGCACAAGTTCCATTCTGCCTGCCTCTACAAATGGTTCTCCACCTCTCACAAGTCCACATGCCCACTTTGCCAAACCCCCTTCTGATTGGACCAAATTCACTTACTTCAAAAGCTGGACAGTTCAGTTTGTGTGTATCTCAAATATCTTATTTTCTTTTGTGAAAGTATACATAGTCCTCGGGACTATAGGAGAACTGTAGTTTGTTGGGGTCACCCCACTCCATGACATTGACAGTAGTGGTGAGAGAATGTTCAGCCACTGGAGTCATGTCTTGTTCTGATGGGTTCCACTCTCCATGGTTGTTCATTGAATGGTGAGGGTCCCCCAATGAGCTATGGTTTTTGTGTTATTTTCCTCTTCTACCTTCTCTTTTTTGTTCTTGGTGGAAGTTTTTGGCAGAACCAACATTCTATTATCTGAGCTAAAGCTCAAGAGATGCGTACATTAAGGCATTAAGAGAGTGTGGGGATGGAGACAAAAGAGGAAAAATGGCATTTTGTTGTAGGGCCGACTGGTCGGGGTGGAGCAGTATTTATTGAAGAACTGGTCGGGGTGGAGCAGTATTTATTGAAGAATTGGTTTTCAGGTTAAACAGTGGGCTTCAAGTTCAGGATTAAAACAAAAGAAGAAGAAGAAGAAGAAGAAGAAGAAGAAGAGTTTGTGATATGGAAGTCTGACAAGGGGAGATGAATGGAATCTTGTAGGAGATGTTCATGGCCTCAGGTTGAGGTTTGCAGGTATTCATGGTTATATGGCTATTAAAGTATTTACTATACAGGCTTCAAAGCTTTTCATGTGTAGTGGTGGTATAATCCAATTTTTTACTGCAAATGTAGTGAAAAGTTTTCACTGCCAATGTGTTTTGGCGGTTATACCTTACCTTGTTTCCATTTTTTCTGCATAAGATCGGGGTTAACCGGATCCTTTTTCGAACGTAACAAGAACAAGAGTTTCAAAATGAGTGGAAGGAGGCATCTCTCTCTCTCTCTCTCTGGCTTTTGTTATTCTGTGTGGTCATGTTTTTGTCATGTGTGTGACTATGGAATCGCAAACTCCATCCTAGTCATACAGGAGTGGAATAATGTTCCATTGAGAGATAACAGTATCCTATGCAGTTACTGGGCTTCCTACGGTTTCTTTGCACTCCAACTGTTCAATGCCAACAACGGATGGTTGGGATCTGTCATTTCCCCGCACAAAAGTTTATTCAAAATGGGTCCCCACTTATTGTCTGTCAGTCTTAAAAAATCGATGGACTTCCGAGTTGAGGAACAATGCTGCCCAACCGCTCCACCGTAAAATCTGAGACCCTATAAGTGCCAAGATACTATAGGAAAACCAAATGATAGCATAGAATACCAAAGGGTACAAGATTATGCTTTGCCATACGTTCAATCATATGATGCATGACCGGTCACATTGACATATTATTCCATGGTTTAAAGTTTTTGGTCTGAGGACTCGTGCATCTGCCCTGGTTTTCAAGTTAGTACCCAAAACACATGCCATGTCATTGTAAACCCATTTCCACAGTAAATCCATAAATTTGGAGCTCTAAAATGGTATAGATTTGATCTTCAAGTAATAGAAATGATGGGTCCAAAATACAAATGCAAGATAGACCACTTTTAAGCACAAAAATCTGCCTCTTTCTTTTTTTTTAATTTTTAATTTTTTTTTTCTGATAATAACGATAGCCAAGATTTTGACCTATAAAGTTTTGAATCCTTCCCTCTGACATCACCCCACTACCGCTTTGAAAAAAAACGAACTCCCAAACTATTTGAAAAAACAGGTAGTGGCCTGTCATCCCTATTGACATACATTCCGTAAGTGCATTTGGGATTCACCTAAACCCTACCTAAGAACAATACTATCGATCCAATACATCATGCCCTAGGAAAGATTGATATAAAGGATTGGCTTGGTTTTATGTAGTCGAGTGTATACAACTTCAATCCAATAATTGTTTCTGAAATGAGGGACAGAGAGAGATCTTGTTTACACCTTTGATGATTCTTTAACCGACTCTTTTTCAATGGCAGCTTGTTGGGGGTTCATTAGAACTCTAGGCTTCCCCATGCTGAAGTTTAGGGTTTTGGCCTTCATGTTATATTTAATCTCTCCATCATACAACATCTTCCTTATGTAGTGTTCAATGTCTGACCCTATCAATCGAAGCGTGTACTCTGTCAAAGGTGCACCCTTCAACAAAACCACAAACAAATGTCAGTCACACATAAAAACATAGGAGTAAATCGAAGGATCAAAAGAGCTTATTCTGTCACTCTTATTTCAAACAATTTGAATTAGGAATACGTGTATGTGTGTGTGAGAGAGGTATGTGTGTAGGAGAGTAGGACTGGACACAAGGCATAGGTAGTCATTATAGTGGGGTGTCACAACATGACGCCTTGAGTTTAATTCTTACTACCAGCAGAGATCCTCTTTCCCCCGAATCTACCAGAGAGATAGAAAAAGAGAGATTCACACATATTATAATTATATGGATCTTTTAATTATTACTTATCTTTTTTTTTCGAGTAGCTAACATATAATTTTATGGGGAAAAAAGTTTATATAAAGTTGGAACCTTAAAATGTAGAATTAAGGTGTACTTGAAAAATCCATCATGAAGGGCTGTTTTGAAGTTGGAAAACCTTTTAATCGATAATCTCTGCGCTATTAAAATAGTGCATCTAGCAACACATTATCTGGATCGTCCATTTTCAAGATTTTCACATGTTTATAGATCTACTTGTTTTGAATCATTTTTGGAGTCTAAATTTTATAATTACAGATGAAAATGAATTCTCAGGCCATCCTAAGAATTTTTTACATCAAAATTACATTTTATGCTGAATTTGGTAGTGCACAATACTTTTTTATTTTTTTGTGTGAATAGTACAATTTACTTTGATTGTTTAAGGTTGCAACCTTATGCAAACAACTCCTTTTATGCGATTGCACGCTTTCTATAATTTTATGCTTTCTCTACATTATTGATTAAGTTAAATTGATATACATGTTTGTTCGCAGTACAAAATTGTCAATCAGGACTATACAAAATTAGAAGATACAAAAAGTTTTGAATTGGAAATACCCTCTTTGGCCGAACTGTCCGCTCTGTAGGTTTTTCCTATAAACATGGTTGAAAGCAATTTGTTGCACCCTAATAGTCTCTTACATCTAGGTTAGGTTGTAATTGCCAAGGGATTTGTTGCTTCCCTTAATCCAATGTTTGAAAACTCAAACGATTGCTTCTCTGAATGGGAATTGGTCAGAACCGAACTGATTTAGGGATGATATGGGTCCTGCCCGGCACCCCCTTAAGATATCTTAATTTTTATTGTATTTCATTTATTTTGATATTTTTCTGGATCACCAATTCAAACCGATCCATACCTGATCCAAAGAGCCAATCCAATGATCTGCTATGGATATGTGGATAAACAATCCCTCCTACCAATCCGTTTCGAAACACTGCATTAATCCATTGGATGGATTAACCATGTTTCTCTTAGTTAAGATGGTTTTATTCTAAAATCATGTTTACCTCATAGTGGTCGACTAGCTCCTGAAAATAGGCATAGACCTTGTTGCAAGTCTCTTTAGTCCACACAAACTCATTGGAGGGGTCAAGGAGGAGGGTGAGCTTGTCCATCTGTGTTTGATCAAAGGCATAGGTTACAGGGTCTATGTATGCAGCATAGATCCTAACATGCCGTGTTACACTGCTTAGCCATTGTCCCCCGTACTCTTTACTCATGTTTTTGCTTCTCGTTTCAGCCATCATTCTCACTCTCCCTCTCCCTCTCTCCCCCATAAGAGCCTTTGTGTTCAAGATACATGAAGAGGAGGCCAGCTGAGAAATGCTCATGACTAAGTTTGACTTCAACTGAGAATACTGCTCTTTTCTTCAGGGACTAACACTTCCTGGACTCTTATTCCTAATGGAAATTTGGTGTTTTCCTGATGTAATGGCTTCTATACTGTACTCTCTCTCTCTCTCTCTCTCTCACTCTCTTCTTTTAATTAAGTTCACCCATTCAGAGTAGATCTCTCTCTCTAGTTAAGTCTACCCATACCAAATGGATAAGGTTTTGAACGCTTGGGCGTAAAGGAGAGGAGGAGAGAGAGCTTAGGATATGAGGTGAATGTAGGACTTGAATTAGGGTTGGCAAACTGGCAATGGACCAGGACCCAACTCGGGACCTAAGGGGTAGACCCGATCAGGAGGTCTGGGTGCAAGATTTGGACCCGAACTCTATTTGGGTCTTGGTCCATGTCCGGGTCCGGGTCCAAGTCCATTAATATTTTTTGTGTTCCACTAAGAAATATATGAAAACATAGTTAAATACATTGATATTTTTATTCTTTTGGGTTGGGTTTGCTACCATATCATTTTTCTGGGTCCGGGTCTGCCAACCCGACCCATTGAACTTGAATGCAAGAGATTTAACTGGACAAGCGTGGATCATTATTGATATTTTTTTTTTTTCTAAATTGTTAGCGATAGACAATGAGATTTCTTATGCTGAATGCATAACATGAGACAAATTATTTGTAGTATGAGGAGGTTACAACTACTTTTGGTCATTGGACGTGAAACTAGTAGGTGAAAGTGTCTTAATATTTGAATTTTTTATTTTAAATTTTATGCCCAAACAATTACACATCATCAATTATCTGATTTCAAATCTAACAGTGATGATTGTGGTTTCGTTGTATCAAAAATAAATGGTTGCATTGTATATATTTCCTTGCCTGTAAGGTTTGAGGATATATATTGGTTCTCTTTTTTTGACTTCATAAATGGTTGCATTTTATATATTTCCTTTCCTATAAGGTTTGAGGATATATATTGGTTCTCTTTTTTTTAAAAAAATGTTACTGGATCTCTTTTCCATTATACTATCTTATGATTTGAAAACTAGCGATTCATATATCTTATTTAGATTGGGAATCGGTCCAGACCCACCTTGTTCCTTGTTGGAACCAGAATTGCTCTGGTTCTTATGGACTCACCTAGTTGAGTCTGGTAGGAACTAGGCGATCAAGATTGACCAGATCATCCAGTTTGCACATATTATATTTTATTTATTATTATTATTATTATTATTATTTTCAATGTCTTCTAATTTTATGGATTGGATCTCGCACTAGAGAACCGGCCCAATCCACTGATCCGGGCTTGATTTCTGAAAGATTAATTCACCCAGCCTAACCAATATTTCAAACATTGGTTTCATCCAATAATCTATTTGTCCAAAACAAATTAACAAATTGGATTGGGTTAGATGTGACTTTTTTTTTTTGTTTGGTTAGTTCAGTGGTAGGAATTGAACTTAAGATTGCTCGACTCACAAGTACTTGAGCCACCTACTTTTTATAATCTTTTTAATTTTGTTTGCTCATTCTTACATGATACAACTTGGACGAGTCCGGGGGGGGGGGGGGGGGGGGGTTGACTCGGGCAATAATCCCAGCGAGCCAAAGCCCGAGTCCACCCTTTTAAACACTAATTCCATGTTTGTCTCTCTCTTCCTTTGACACAAAGGCAAAGGCACCTTTTACTTAATTATGAGCTTCTTTTTAGGTCCCAAAAATTGACTCACATGACTAAAATGAAGCATCTGGAAGTGTTAGAGAAATTTATGTGAAGGAAAATTGTTTCATGCAGGCTAGACCACATTTCTACATATGTGATTCGAAAAGAGTAAAACATTAATCTTAAAGATAGACGCCAATAGATGTTCCATCTAAAAACAATGAAAACTAACGATCCAAATGTTTTCTTACTAAAATTATCATTTTTAGTGTTTAAAATTTATTTATTTATTCATATTCATGATATACATGTTAGAAATTTCATGTCCTTCAAAATTAATTTTTAAAATCCATCTTAAAAATAGATTTATTACGAAGCCCGCATTTTGCTATATGCAAGCTTGGCCACATAGAAACCAGATCGTTATTTAAATACCACATTTTATTTATATCCTTCAAGTTAATTTCAAAATACCCATAAAGGACATATGATTTCAAAATACCCATAAAAAGACATATGATCATGAGTTGGAACAGTTACCTGGTAAAACATTGAATAGTTTATATCTTAATGCTATTTTTGATAAATTTTCCTTCTGGTTACCATTTATACTTTATTTCCAGTGTTTACCCCAGTGATATGTCATCATATGTCCTCCTTTTTCTGTCAAGTTTTCATCTCAAGGCGGCCGTGCATACACATACACCTACTTCTGTTACTGATGATTGGTAAAACAATGAATCACACTTAAAAATCACAATTAATTGATAGAAGAATGAATCACACTTAGAAATCACGAGAAAATCAAAATACAAACAACAAATAATTCCCCACAGAACCCTGACATCATTGGGTGGGAGAGACAAAAACATGATGAAATCCCCTTTCTCTACCTCTCTCTCACTAAAAAAAAGCTCCGATGATGATGTTAATGGTGTGAATTGAGGTTGTAGCATTGGTGGTTAAGGGAGCCAAAGCCTTAATATATCATCCCCACCACCCTTTCCTATGCATCTCTCTCTCTTTCTCATGCCAAATGAACTAGATTGCTCGTTATGGCAATTGCACTTGTAACCACCGCAATCAATATCATCAGAACAGCCAGTATCCTATCCTTAGGATCCGATATCCCATGAACATCTCTGCAAAAAAACAAATACAAAGATGGATTGAGAATAAGAATTTTAACTAGCTAAACCTTTCGGACTTTGTCCATGGTTTCACACATTTAATTTTTCAAGAATTTGGAATTCTCAAGCTTGGTTTTCATAATTTTGCTACAAGAAAGCCATACCATGCACCTTTTTTGTGGTGTTAACCTACATATACATGGGATCTACCATCCATTTTAAAAGTGGACATTGGAGATGCAACATGGTTCTTGCATGGATGTTGTGGATACAATAAAGAGGCTGGTCATGATGTGCTTATTCTTTTTTTTTTCCTTTGACGAAGTTACATAGGAATAGAACTTGAGACGTAGTGCGATGAAAACCCAGCTGTTACCGTCTTGACCCAAGCCCAATTCCTGTCATGATGTGCTTAACCCTTGCTTGAAAAGTATATATAGTCTAACAGACTATGAAGGTTATGATCTACTGAATCATCGGGTTCATATAAAACAACAGACGACGATGGAGGCAGATTGGGAACCACCACACCAGTGGGCCATATCTCCAGTTCTAATATGTCATATATCTTTATCCATCACAACTCACCATTCTCCTGTAGTATGACTTTCTTTAATCCATTGGATTATAATATACTTTTCCTTGTTACAACAAGGATACTGCTTTTCTTTTTCTTTTTTAAAACTCTCAATATCTCTGTAGAAAATTTTCTTAAGACAATCAAGAAAACCATTTACCTGAGCACGATAGCACCAGGGAATATGAAATCGATGCAGACAGCAGTTGTGGAGCCAACAAACTGGAACACTGACCAAATATCAGGTATGAGTATGGCAGCCAAATACACAAATCCCAGTATAATTCCAGTAAGGGAGGTGAACCGAAGGGCAGCAGTCGTATTTGTGGCACTGGGGAAAGCCAATCCGTCAAGATTGATCCTGAGAGAGAAATTGAGAAGCGGAAAGACAAGCATCACGTGAAGCACGTAACTCAGTCGAACAACAGCACTCGATATAGCATCAGGGTTTCCACGATTGAAGTTGACAAGGATGTCTGAGGCAGTGTTTTCTCCAAAGAGGAGATAGCAGAACAGTCCAATGGCAATGTACACCACGGCGCATAGAGCAAGTGAGACTCTGACCACAGACTGCATCTTCTGTGGTTTTCGGAACTCTGCTCGAATGGGATGAACTAAAATACCCAAAGACCCCATATAAATCTTTATCACTTATTTTTACGCTTTAAAATGAAGAGAGAAAATTGAGTTTGTTTTAGTATATTCCAGCTAAAATACAATGAAATATGAGTTTATTTCTTAAATTTTCTGAATTCTAAATACTTTCCCAACAAATATAAAGAGATTTCAAAATTTTGAGACCAGGGCAAATAACTAAAATACCCTCTCACCATTGAAGTGGCAGGTGAAAGCTGATACAAGCACGGGGACAACAGTAAAAAGCTTGATGTATGAGAACTGTCCTGTAATTTGGGGAAATAACCTGGGCATTTCTGCCTCTCCAGTCCAAATCGCAACAATGCCCAAAGCCGCGGTGACAACCGCAAAAACCACAGCTAGAAGCACAGATATGGCTGAAGTGAATTTCAATGAGTCTGCACAGAGGGAAAAAATGGCAATATAATAAACCCAAATTTAATGAAAAGGACAATTATCTATAGTTGAGATTAAGGAAATCATGGTTGACGGAACCAGGGTTCCGAAACTGACTCTGAGCCCTGCCTGTGAGGGCTTGGTTCTGATTCGACCTGGACAATTCCTGAGCCAGATCAGACTATATCTAGTTAATAAATAAAAAACACCAGCTAAAAATTGGAATCAGCATGATTCCAGGTTCCTCGAATCGCCTGCATGATAATCCCAACTGGACCGAGGGGATTTCAAGTCAGATTGGAGATTTTTCAAACCCAACTTGGAATACTTAGCACACTGTGCCTAAGATTTGGGATGAAATTGAGGGGAGGAAAACATAGGAAGCAACATTACTACTACATGGATAATATTGAAAAATCAACACTAAAAACATCAATTATCATAATAATTGAGTTATATAACAATAAATTTGTGGTGGCACCCACATTCTTGAGGGCATGTGTACATGTGCTAAGTTAAAAGGACAATTTAGTAAAACCTCTAAACAAGAGCAAACAATCGAGACCCATTAAGTCTGATTCAGTGATTTGAGTCCTCGGACTTGTCCCCTTGCTGAGCCGAGTACTCAATAAAACTTGGGTGATTACAAAATAAAAATCACAAAGATATTAAATTGTGCCATCAATGTATAGATATTTCATATATAATTTGTTTTTATGATGATTTGTGAGTTGTTCTTGTCATATGCTCCATTTTTATATTTTTCTTTTTTTAAGAAAAAATTTCTACTGCCTCTAGTCGTAAGTCAATTTTTCTTATATCCATATTTTATTTTTTTCATCTGTTTTTAGTTTAGTTTGATTTAGACAATTTTACTTTTGGGATTTTCTACAAAGAGACTATTTACCTTTCCTACATGAAGGTCACAATCATTCTTGTCCCTTAAATTTCAAAATGGGTGGTTGTAAGAGTGTCATTGAATAGACACAAAGTTCCAAAAAAAAAGATCTTGGACTTCGTAACTCACCCCAAGCCATCCAATTTAACATCTAATGAGTGAAAATTATTGTGACCTCCATGTACAAAAGATAAATGGTTTCTTTGTAGACAATTTCTTTATTTTTAACAAATTTGTTGATTCTTTTTTAGATTTTTTAGGACCATTTTGGCTAGGCGCTTCTCAGCCAATCCGAGTTACTCGGCTCGGATAGGGACCAAGTCCAAAGTTTGTGAACTTTGGTCTGATTCCATGAGAATGCCATAGAAATCAAATCCATATTAAGAGTGTGTGCAGTACCATACCAGCAGTTGGATCACACTCCCATCGAGAAATGAGTACGAGTTTGACATAGACATTGCAAGACCATCTCAAACATCCAATTGATGGACGGACATTGATGGAGACATAATGGGCTTGGGTCATTCTATATTCATGTCATCCCTATTGCCGCTCATAAACCAATTGGATAGTGACGACATCATGAACATGGAAACATCTATGGATCACAATACACTTTCCATTATAACAACAGGAACATGAATTATCTTAATTTCTGCAAAAAGTTGGAGTGTGAGGACCACAATTACATACCTACTCGCCTCAGTGAAACAAGAGGGAGAAGAATGAGAAATGTAGTCACGAGGAGCACGAACGAGCGTGAAGTCCACCACCCATTCCCAAACCACTCACGAAATATACCCACATGTGTCGGCCCCTCTGCCACACTCCCGGAAAGAACATCAGCTGCAACAAGAAAAAGAAAGATATAATTAAACGGATTACAGATCTGAAGTCTAAACATTTCTCAATTGCAGTTAAGTAGCAAATTAAACATTTCTGGTTAACCAATGTCAATTTCTTGGACTACAAATGACAATTATCTAATTTAAAACTTTTAACAAACTCAGACTGGGTTTTGATATTGTGCCTTAATTTAAACTTTTACGGAAGGATAAACGGTTGGGAGAGATTGGAATTTATTTCTATTATTCCTCACTTAGGCTTTTTTTTTTTCCAGTCAAAGCAAGAGAAATTTATATGAAAAAAGATGTATTACCACAACACTTAGGCTTTTTTTTTTCCAGTCAAAGCAAGAGAAATTTATATGAAAAAAGATGTATTACCACAAGATTAAGTTGTGGTTCCTACGTTTTTGAGGTTTCTTTCATTCTCATTTGACCACAAGGTCCATATTTTTGGACATATGAAGTTGGGGTCCCTACTTTTCTGAGGTTTCTTTGGTTCTCATTCTACCCCATCTTGAAAGTACTTTCGAAACCCATGAAACGCAAAAAAAAATGATGTATTTGGGCAGTCATGTATTTGGGTGGTTCAAAATTTAGACTTTCAAACATACATTTCAAGTAGTTTGAAATTTGCCCTTGTCAACCGCCCAAATACATTAGTATTTTTGTTTGGAGCAGTTCAAAAGTCTAACTATCGAACCGAACCACGAGTAAAATGAGAATAAAACTAGAGAAAACCAAAAAGTAGGACCTTAACACATATATGCTAAAAAATATTATTAATGTCACATCTTTTATCAGGTGAAAAGCTCTAAAAGGCAAAGGGGATGCTCTACTTATGGTCTTCCTGACGGTATAGCCAAAATGACCGAATAGGATTTATGTAGCTGACCCCAAATATGAGGCCCTGATGATGATAATTACGACACAAATTTGTGCACAAGTAAAAAACTTCCCACGCATTCAAGGTGCCTATAGAATTTCTAAATTTCACCGCAATAATGTAGCTGCGCTAATTATAATTGCAAAAGTCAATGAACAAAGAAAAATCCTGAAATGAAGAAGTAAACTTTTGACAGTAGGAAAATACAGTTTAAATTGTCAAACCACCTAAAAAAGGGGACACGGTTTTAGTGAGTTGGCCGACACACCTATTACAATGCAGTCCCTTATTTATCTAAGGTCCAGTTTGCATCCACTAAAAATTAAAATGTACGGTGAATAAAGAAATTCAAAAAATAACATTTACATCATTTGAAAAAGAGAAATTCCAAATTACATCTTTTTTACACTTAGGTGTTTTGATAAAATTTGGAGGTGGGCCTTAATTGGATAGTTCAAAGTTGCAACCTCATAAAAACCAAACCTTAGGTGTTTTGATAAAATTTGGAAGTGGACCTTAATTGGATGGTTCAAAGTTGCAACCTTATGGAAACCACACCCTTTAACCATCTTTTCTTTTTCAATCTTCTGAGGAGGGTTGACCATTCATTTTTTCTTAAATTTATTTTAGAAAAAAAAGAAGGATATTTAAACCATCTCTTGGTTTCTCAACTGGGAAGATATATAATAAACAGCAAGAACTGGTTTCTCAACGAGAGCACAGTTCCCGCGTTTAATAGAAAAAGGGTAATTTAAGAAATATTGTTTTAAGGGGAAATTTATTAAAAATATACCTCACATTTCAAGTATTTAATATTTTATTTTTTAACTACAGTCAAAATCTTGATGGGCATTTTGAAATTAGTTCAAAACATATGGGTAACGTGTTAAATAATAAATAGAGTTAATCTTAAATGTGTGTTTTTACAAATTTGCCTATTTTAAGGCCATTTCAATCTTGATGGTAAAATGCGATTGTGTCCGAAAATGAACCTAAAATTTTTTTTTACCAGATAAATTATTACCTAAAAACCATGAAAAATTCTTTCCCATAAAACAAAGAGCATAAAAGTTAGAAAATGTATGGAATATCAAAAGAAAAGAAGGAATTAAATTAGAAAAAGAAGAAAAATAGTTTGCCAAGATCCACTAAAAAAAATTCCCAAATCTAGAACCATCAACTCAAGAAAGGAAATGGAGAAATCATAATTTCTTTATGTTTCAATTGCCTTTATTTTTTATTTTTAATTACTGTTTTTTGGGTAAGTCAAATTTCCTATTTATATGAATTCTTTATATCAAATTAAAAAAAGAACAGAGACCCACACAAAAAAAAAATAGGAGAGAGGAGAGGGAAAAACAAGTACCTATGATAATCATATAGATAATCTCAGCCCCCAAATTAGTGATAATCACACAAATTTGCAGAAGAACTGACCCAATCTTTCCAAATGATTCCTCCATTAATCCAGCATAAGTCGTAGAATTACCGGCACTTGTAAATTTCAGCATAAATTGCAGCGAAAAATTCGTCAAGATCGCAACGAAGATCACCGATAAAATCGCAGGAAGCACACCCAAAACCTTCAGAGTTGCAGGAATGGACATGATTCCAGCACCGATAGCGCTTGTTGAGAGATTGAAAATGGCTCCTGAATAAGAAGCTCCATTGGAGTTTTGTGAATTCTTGGTTGAATTCAAGAGGGGCGCCTCGTTTTCCTGCTCCTCATCAGGATTTGGCGCCATGGAACACTGGTGTGTGTCTTCTGTCTCGGAGTTTCTCTCTCTAAAACTGATGGGTTTTTGTGTTGGGGTTTTTCTCTCTGAACAGCGAAGCTGGGGGTTGCATCGATTGACACTGAGTATTTGTAGTCAGTTTTTCTTTCTCTTCCCCGGTTGATACGCAATACTAAATGGGGAGGGAATGGGGAGATCTCAGCCGATAGATCCCAAATTTAACGGCTGGATGGGATCAATGAACGTGGACCGAATAGTGTCGCCAGGGTTGACTGATGCTGCTAGAGCCTCTTTCCGCTTTTTTAAAATCTAATTAAGGCGCACCTTCAAATAATGTCAAGATATTTATTTCAGCATTACGATGGCTTTAAAATTTATTTTCATTTTGATGTTTAAAAAAATTATTTTTATCTTTACTTACAAAATTTAAAAATTAAAAATAGTGTGAATCAAGCATACCTATGAACGCATTTGAAAATCCATTGACGGTTAAGATAATACATTTTATTTTAAAGATTTGAAATCTATTTTTTCTTATAGCCATACATTTTGAAATCGAGATTATCGAATTAATAGTTTTTTACCACCGAAACAACATCTTCTAATGAATTTGGTGCGCTTATGTAACCTATTTTTTTTTTTCTAATTCAAATAATTCACATCAATATATTTTATATTTGCCCAAAGCATGTTCTTCTCGGAGACAATGTGTACTCCGCAAACAAAAGATTTGTATATAATGCCCCACTTTATGATGATCAGGCACCCCTCTAAATTTTGTCAAAAGATGTAATTTCGGTGCCTGGTGGCTTAAATATTTATATTCAATTTTAATTATAAAAATTAATTTTTTTTTCCAATGCAGATACAACGTATTTAAAAATATTTAAAAATCTGAAAAATAAATAGCCCAAATAAGTAATCATAAGATTCACTTCTTTTTTTACTTCAAATTTGTCTCTCTAGATTTTAAGGCAGTGAAAGTCACTGAGTTGTCCTAAGAAAAAGGGCGCGCAGGTCTTATTAGAACGACAGGAGAAAGCACGTTGCTTTGTACCATCCACGTGCTAGATAAATGTCCACTTCACTCACTTTGAAGATGGCATCCAATTTATTGACAAAAAAAGAATGAAAATTATAAAAAAAATTTAAAAAATTAGATATTTATTGATATATAAAAATATCCTATTATTTGCACTCATACCCTTTTTTTTTTGTATTTTTTGTTTAACAAATTTATTGCCCTTGTCACAAATTTGATATATCTGTGACGCTACAAAGATACCGTTGTTTAAGCCCACACCCTCAAATACTTGTGCGGCCAATGGAACCTTTTGGCACTGCCATAAACCTATTAGATTTATGACAGTGCTATCATAAAGGCCTTAGACGCCTTGCGCTTGTTACAGGTACCCCATAGTACTACGAGAACCGTAGCACTATAAAGTGCTACGGATATATCAAAACCGTGATGAGGGTATTATAGTTATTAAAAATAAATGTATTGGATAAATAGGTACAAGTATAAATAATATAAGATTCTAATATATTGGTAATATTCAAAACTTTAAAAAATATTTCAGATAATTTCCCAAAAAAGGAAGTGGGCTAGAATTTATTATTGAAAAATAGTGGACCTGTGATAATGACAAAAATAAACAGACATAAGAGAGAGTCATTATGCAAATCGTGGGACATTGAAATGATACTTCCAAATGGAATGAATGTGATTGAAAAATAAAATACGACTAATGATTTTACATCGATTAAACTTATCAAAAGCAATGGGAGAGAGTTTTTACTTTTCGCATGCTGTGCATGGGATTTGTCCCAATAATATTATTTAAAGGGTTGAAAGGAACAACGGCCTATGGGACTTCAAGACTTTATTGTTTCAGATTTTAGATCTCTCATCTTTTTTTATTTTTTTGCTCATGTTTACAGGGAAGCTAATATAGTAGCAGACTTTCTTGATAAAGGAAGTTCCTCCCTTTAGTTTCTATTTCGGACTCTATAATTACATTTTAGTTCAATACAGTTGTGAAATTTCTATCAAAAAAAAAAATTTGTTAAAACTCTTTACATAGGCCAAATGATCTTTAATTGATTTTGATGTTATTGTTTTATCATATTTATTTCACTTAGGTACTTCCATGAGAAAATTATTAAAAATTCTCAAATCGTCTTTGCTAGGGATTGGAAAGCCTAAACAATTAGTAGCATTTCAATTATTGGACCCAAGAAGTCCCAAGTAACCAACAAAAATATCTATAAATAATATCATTTTAGTAATATGACCGCAAAGACTACCTAATGAGTGATTAAAATACTCATGTTTATTCAGAGTTTTTTTCGATAGTTTGCTTATTTATAGTTACAGATAAGGAAAACACTCTTGGGGGTTAGTAATGAGGAACAACTTTGTTATTTGGCACCTAAATGTACTACATGTGTCAAAAAATATAAATACCTATAATTGTTCCTCATTAGTCACCCTGAGCAATGTGTTCATTAATTGTAACCCTCAATAAGCCGGGTCTTTCTTAATTGTAACTCTCACATGGAGATATTATTGTTGTTGGGTTGGGGCCTCTTAGGGGGGATAAATTACTAAATGTCTAAATTGTTTAGGCTTCTTAACCTTGAACAAAGGTAATTTAAAATTTTTTTAAGATTGTTTTGAGAAGTACTTGAGTGAAATAAAATAAAAAAAAAACAACCCCCTTAAATGTTTATACCAAAAAGATTCACGCTCCCAAGAAAAATTTCCCAATTTAGTATTTACCCCATGTAGTAACTTTATAGTATTGTCCCCACAAATACATAGTATATGCACTCAATATTAATTAAGATCATTAGACCTTTTAATACTTTTTTTAAGAGGTTTTAAGCCCTTGTGTAATATTTATTTTCCCATGAAATGTTATAATACGTGGAAAAGGTATTTTTTATGATATGATATTTATAATAAATCTCGCTACAATTTTTTGTTGTATGGTTTAATATTCATAATTTCATATTAAATTTTCAATGACAATTATTTTATTTTTTTAATGCTGAGAATTTACGCGGTTTGGATCTGAAACCTGAATTTCAGATCCTATCTGGATCTGGGTATGGATCCAAAATTTAGATCTGACGTGTTGGACTCGGATCTGCTCGAGATCTGGCCCAATTAGTAAATAAGTAAACCCTCTCCTCAAAACTCATCAAGACTCACAATTATGCCGTCGTAAAATCTTCAAATTGATCATCTCATTTTAAACATTATGGTTGTGAAAAAAAGAGGATTTCAAGGCCTAAAACAGTGTATATTATAACAAATTATCTAAACCGTCTATTTTGTACTAAAAATCGGTGTTTATAGATCAACAAGATCTGTACTATTTTCTGAACTTCAAATTTTATAACCAGTGTTGAAAATTGATTTTAGAACCATCATAGAGATTGTCAACGGCCAAAGTGCCTTCTGAATGAGGATTTGAGGTGAAGCCGAGGTCTTATAGAAACTTCATCCCTTGTTTTTAACATATGTTGTACTCTATGAATATAATGACATCACTGCATTTGCAGTCTCCATCTAACATCAACCACGATAATGTATACCCGGTTTCTACACTGGTTTGCATTAATTGCCAACTCTATAGGGATTTTTGAGGGAACTTGAATTCTTTAAGGTGTCAACCTTATTAAAAGAAGTTTGGAAAAAGTATATATAAATTGTAACCTTATACTAGTACTTTTAAAATTTATTTGGGGATATACATATCGTATAAAAAATCTTTATGATGGCTTAAAAATCTATTTTTACCCATAGTAATAAAATTTAGAATTTCAAAAATAGTACAAGTCGAACAAGTTTATAAACACTTATAAATCTTGAAAATAAATAGTTGAGATAATTCGTTACAAGATGCATTAGTTTTAATATTTGAAAATTTTCATTTATTTAATATCTACAACTCTCAAGGCCTGGATAATCAATTGGAGGGTTCTCTAACATCACACAACTCAATTTTTTAGTGCACCTTACTTCAATAGGATTAGGTTGCCCATGCTCACAAAAAAAAAAATGTTATAATAATATCTAATAACTAAAATGGCCCCATACCTATCTAGGGATTCTCCAACTCACAAAATTTTTATCCTTTTATTCTTGGTGTTGTTTGTTACAAGGTGTCAATCTTAAATATTTCAAATAAGGCGCACCTCCCTGGATGATTTAAAAATGTAATTTTGGTGTAGAAATTTTCATGATAACCAAAAAAATTACGTCACATCTAATTATAAAATTTACAATTAAAAAAATGATAAAAATCGAACAGATCTAAAAACTCATGAAAATCTAGATAATAAACAGTCTAGATGATAGATTATAAGATATACCATTTTAAAAACTTTAAAATCTTTTTTTTCATATCCGTACATCTCAAAATCGAGATAACCAATTAAAGGTTTTTTCAATATAAAACAACCATTTTCAATATATTTTTTAAACATACCTTTTTATATATATAGTATAATAAAGTTGCACCTTTATATAGACTTTTTCTTTTATTTTTAGATGCTATAATAAAGATGGTCCTTTGTGTACCGATCTGTCCCCTTGACATTGACGCATTCAAAAACGACGAGCCATTTCGACAAAAAAAAAAACCTTTAATAATACGCAGGTGACGAAGCATGAGTCTCATGTTCACCACGTGATTCATGCTGTAATCATTGACGACTTACTTTGAACCAGAGGTTTAAAAGTCGCCAATGTCGGCATCGATTCAACTCGCGAATGGGTTGTACCGATTTTTGCTTATCACAAAAAATCGTGTGGATTTTCACATATAATCGGAAATCTTATCGATTCTCGTTTATAACCGAAAATCGTGTCGATTTTCGTTTATAACCGTAAATCAAGCGTGTCTAGAGGAGAGCCGGTGCTACAATAATTCGGCGAGTCACAACAGTGACACGGGCAATTTCAACCGATAGGGGTAAGCTCTGAAAAAAAAGTTTACAATGGGGGGTAATATTTGTTATATGCATTATCAACCGTCGTGTTATGACAACATCACTCGTAGGGCGATAACATGACAACAACACTCGACGTCACTGGTAGGGCGCTCTCGCTACCAATTTCTTCTAAGATCCTATCTCCCTGTTCCATCAAACAAATGATTCTTGGATTTCATTCGTGATATTGAGAAAAGAAAAGATCAATAAATATTTCTATGGATCCTCTCAATTGTATACTAGACTTAGACTACTATAATAAAAAATAAAAAAATGTTCACCGCGTGATTCATGTTGTAATCTTTGACGACTTACTTTAAACCAGTGGCTTAAAATCGTCGAGTCGATGTCGATTCAACTTGGGAATCGGTCATCTCGTGCCGATTCTCGCTTATAATTTAAAATCGTACTGATTCTCGCTTATAACTAGAAATCGTGTCGATTCTCACTTATAACAGGAAATCGTGCCAATTCTCAATTATAACCAAAAATTGAGCGTGTCTAGAGGCAAGCAGGCGCTACAGTAATTCGGCGAGTCGCTACAGTGACACGGGCGATTTCAATCGGTAGGGATAAGCTTTATCATGCCAATTCTCAATTATAACCGGAAATTAAGCGTATCTAGAGGCGAGCCGGTGCTACAGTAATTTGGCGAGCCGCAACAGTGACATAGGCGATTTCAATCGGGGTAAGCTTTGAAATTTTTTTAAAAATTGGTAGGCAATATTTGTTGTGTGCATTGTCATCAGGTAGGGATAAGCTCTTGAATTTTTTTAAAAAAATTTGAGAAAGGCAACATTTGTGGTGTGCATTGTCAACCGTCGTGCTATGATGACATCACTGATGGCGACGACATGACAAGAACACTTACAGCACGATAACATGAGGTGTAGGTCACAAACTGGTACAAACGCTCACATTGACGTGCACCTGCCACAAACACTTTATACCAGGCACCTCTTCGTTAAGGCTTCGATGTGGATAATTCCCAAACCACACCCTTTTACAAATTTGTTGTTATCTTACATACATTGGGTTGCCATAGTTAATAGGGTTGTTCTATGTGATTGTGACCTCAATCTAATAAAGGTTGTGGTCCGTGAGGGTGATTGTCAGTCAACTAAAGTGATCCTCCATCAATTTTGTTTACTTTTACGTGTAGTCGATATCCATAAGAATAATAATTTACAAAAATTAACATAATTATATGAAATTATTGTTTGTTTATGTTGATCCCTTAAATATAATTATGTTAAATTTATGTCAATATAATTATTTTTATATATATTAAAATTATTTTTAAATTATATGAAAGTTTTTTCTAATATTTTTAAATTATTTTGATGTAATATTATAATATTATATTATAATTAATAGTTATAATACTCTATTATAATTTAAAAATGGATCGGGCATCCCAAAAACCCATCATTTTCTTATTTTCTTGTCAAAAAATAAATAAATAATACAATATCTTCTTATTTTCTTGTCAATAAATAAATAACATGTAATACAATAAGTATTTCTTGCAAAAAAAAAAAAAGGTATTTCTTAATACAACAAGTATTTCTTGTTATTTTCTTATTTTTCTCGTCAAAAAAAAATAAAAAATTCTACAACAAGTATTTCTTGTCAAAAAAATAAAAGGTATTTCTTAATACAACAAGTATTTCTTGTTATTTTCTTATTTTTCTCATCAAAAAAATAAAAAATAATACAACAAGTATTTCTTGTCAAAAAAATAAAATAAAACGTAATACAACAAGTATCACATTTTTTTTGTCCGTGTATGACTATATACTTCATCCATGATAATTCTAAGATTTTTCTTGTGTGTGATGTAAATTTAATGATTAACATAAATTTTTACAGGAAAAAAACATCTCAATATTTGTAAATTGATGAAAAAAATGAAAGTTAATAATGTATTACCCACATTTCCTATTGGATTCCTAAAAAACAACATTTATAATAAATTTTAATATATATTTTTGGATTTTTTTTGAAGGCTTAATCCAACCAATTCAACCGATTCTCGATCCAGATCCCCAATTAACCGATCCATATGAGTTTTTGTTTTTTTGAGGTGCCCGATCCGAGTCACCGATCCGTTTTTTAAACCACTACTTTAAACATACGGTTTCGGATCTCCTGAATCTTCTTGATCACTCCACCCATATTACAAGTCTAAGCTCATTTCTCTCTTAGCTCATTTCTCTCATGACATAAGTGATGACCTAGGACTGTAATAATGTTATTGTAGGAGCATTATGTGGGATTAGTCCTTTGGGTAAAAGAGCTCCTTAAGAATGTTTTTAATCTCAAATCTTAGGCTCTACTTTCAAATTTGAAAAGTATATAAAGAGATCATTTACTTTTTGTATACAAAGAGATCATTTACTTTTAAGAAAGCAGATGCAGCCATCTAGGTTTACTTTCACAAAGACAAATGCAGCCGTCTAGGTGGACGCCCTAATACTTGAGTGACCCTAAGAGAAGGGGGTGAGGTAGAGGTCATAAGTTGTTTTATGGGTGTTGTTTTATGGGTGTATATGTGCATGCACACGTATGTGTATGCATGATGTATCACAAAATTCTAAAGATCATCCTTTTTTTTTCTTTTGGATGCGTTTGTGAGCGAGAGATGTTAGAGACTTACAGGATATGTGAAAGAGAGTATGTGAAAGAGAGGCATGCAGCATCAAACACTTGGAACTCATCTTCTTCTCATTTTTCTTCTCTTCTTCTTATATGTAAAGAGGGAGCATATGGGTTCATGTGTATGTGTAATATCGAACACTTGAGAGTTCATCTCCTTCTTCTTCTCATATGTAGAGAGCACATGGACCCAAAAGAGAGAGATAAAGGTAATACCGCACCTTATTTTTGTTTAAGTAGATTTAAATTTCTTTTCCTTTTTTTTTTTTCTTTTTTTCAATTTTAAAGGATGGCACTAGGTGGACGCCTACCTTAGGCATGCCCGTCCCCACCGCCTAGGCTACACCTAGGCAATTTTTCAGCCATACCACCTAGACAACAAGAGGGCCGAATTTTCATTCACCATCTTCAACGCAAGGAGGTCATAGTCACTCTTGTGTATCTTTGACTAAACTCGAGGTAAAAAAAAAAACATGAACTTCATGACACATCCCAAATCACATCCAATTTGATATCTAATGATTAAAAGTGACAATAATGACAAATGGTTCCCGCACCAATATAGTCCCACTTTCAAATCAGCAGAGCATTTTTAGAAAAATAATTTGAATTTGATTCCCAAACATTTCGATCTACCATCCTAAATTTTGTGGCCTCTAAAGACCTTATTCTATTCCAGAACATGAAAAAATTCCCACCATTGAAAAGCTCTCAATTGATCATCTCAACAAAACATTCAAGCATGAAACATCATGCATCTTGCAACACATTATCTAGACAGTTAATTCAAAATTTTCAAGCTTTTATAGACTTTCAATCTTCATAATTTTTCTCTCTTTAAATTGTATAATTAAGGGGCGGAAACAGATTTTCAACTCATTGTGATAGTCTCTAGCACCTGGACTAGTTCATCTGATAGCATTTGAAGGTTCGCTTTACTTTGGGTGTGTGTGTGTGAGAGAGAGAGAGAGAGATCACTGATCATTCAAAATTGATTTCTATCAAGCACAATCTAATATTAAGGAAAAATTCCCCGAAATACTAATGAAACACCCCACATGATTCAATTCTAATGGGGCTCAGTATGAAAATAATTCATCTCTGATTTTCACGAACAAAGACAAAGATCATTCAAAATTGATTTCTATCACTAGAGCTAGAGAAAGATCAATGTAGAGAACCTAAGAACCACCAATATTTTGTGATTTGTTAAGAATGACACCCTCATACTTGACCTGAAACCATTTCATAGCATCTTCCTTTGTCACCCTATGTTGAATGCCCACACGTGATTTGCACCTTCGGCGACGACCCACCCGATAACCAGGCCTCTCCAACACGACATAGAAATCCATGCCATATATACCAGTTGAGGGATCATATCTGATTTAAACCAACTGATATTAGCCACTACCATCAACAACATGCCATTCTCAACCCAATTAACTTCCACAAAAACCATCTAACCATATTGGTTTAGTTTTTATCTGATTGGTATCATCAACTATGATGACAACAATAATAATGAGAAATCTGAAGGTATTTTTCTTTTTCTTTTTTGTGTTTTTTTGGTGTGTGTGTATGGGTTTAGATGGGTTTAATCATGGAGAACAAGGAATTGGACACAATTTCTACTATATCATAAAAGTAGACGGAGTATAAATTAATGAGTTGAAGAAGGATGCAGCATAACGAAAAGAAGAGGAGCACATACTTGATTCCAAGATCAATATGTTCTTGGATGCCAAAACCAAAGCACCCCGTGTCGCTAAAGTTTCTTCTCAAAAGCTCGTACTCCTTCACCTTGAGGCCACTTTCCAACAGCTGCATGGCCTTCTCGCCTCTGACAGTTACATAACATGCAATCTTTTCATTACGTCTAATCCCAAAGGATCGCACAGTGTACCTAGCTGTTGGATAAAAGACCACAAGAATAAGTTCAACAATACATGCCATGAAGTTTATTACTAACTCTCTCTCTCTCTCTCTCTCTCTCTCTCTCTCTCTCTCTCTCTCTCACACACACACACACACACATACACACACACACACACACAATCTTGATATCCAAAAGTTCCAAGAGAAGTCCACCATTAAGGGGGTGCATTTCTAGCTGCTACCATAAGCATTGGGCACATACACATCTAGCATAGCAAAGACCTCAAAAAGCTCACCTTTTGAGAAGACAGGAGTCTGCCCACTCAGTTGTTCCAAAACCTGTGCAAAGCCCAAACAGAATAAGACGCCTTAACATTGAAACAAATGCATAAAAGCTTCAAGAAAAATTAGTCAAGAAACCACCATTTTATGAATGTAGGAACCGCCAACCATCGAAAAAAAGAAAGGTTCATTTGTCACCACTGAATGACCTTCACATAAATGATCAGAAATAATGTTCAGCTACATGCATAAGAACAGAAATAACGATATTTGGGGTAGAATTGAAGTAGCAATCCTCTTTGAGAACTCTGACATAGTTCATTGTAGCTTGACAATATAGGTTCATATTCTTTGGGTGAAGAAGAGGAGAGTGGTCTGGTTTATGCCTTTTCAGAAGAGAGTAGTGTTTAGCCTTCAAGGACCTAACGAGCTAGTTACTTATCATGCAAATAAAAAGCACATGAGGTTGACACTCCTATATAATGCAAAGGGGGCAGATTTAAGAGAGAAAAAAAAATGTGATTTCGAGGGAATCACATTAAAAAAATTTACAAAAGACTTACACAATATTTCATTTCACCTTGGGAAAACCCCTATTTACTACAAATTATAAAAACAAAAATACAATAGTCTTCAACAACAACTATGCCCTTATAATTCGAGCATAGTTTCTTACAATTCGAATGAAATAAAATATAACAAAATAAAGACTAAAGTAACAATGCGCATGAGCTTAAAGTATCCATTGGGAAGCCGATTTCACAATAACCACCATGCAAACACCGCAACGGTATAAATATAACCATTGACTATTACTCACTCTCGATAGCTCAAGAAGGATCAGGTTTCGATCTAATCTCTAGAAGCAAATATATCTTACCATCACATGACATAGTTCTCATACTCATATAAATCCCAAAAACAACTTCAGATTAGGCATAAGACCAAGTGAAAATGGGTAGAATTCGGGGCTAAAATGGGCTCGAAACACAATAGTTCCAGCACTATCATTTCGTTCAAGGGTCCTAACCACTATGGGACCAAGTTTGGTGCATGAAGCTAAGGTAGAGCTCACTGTTATGCTTCTATTTTAGCATATCCAGCAACATAGATGTCTCAACAATTTGCACAAAATAATATGAAAACCATATCAACAAAACACAAAGAGAAAAGGCCCCTACATCTCTAACACTTAACCACTTCAAAATAAAACCCATGAGAGAGAATTGTTTACTGTTGTGATGAAAATCCAGCAGCATTTGATAGGCATAATAGCCGCCAAACATTGATTGAGAGGTGTTTGGGAGGTGTGTGTTGATGTCATAGACAATGTACTTCACCATGGGTGAAAAACATGACAGGCTAACTCTATTAGAGATCTTGGAGATGGATAGCAAAGGGGGTTATAGGAAATTCCAGCAACGTTTTTCCTAACACAACAGCAACCACACTAGGCATAACAGCGGCCATGACACTATAGAAGGTGTATGATGAAGCTTGGGGTACATAGGCTTCAGCATGGGTCATGGGCTTATCAACTATCAAGGGGTGGGCAACACAAGAAGACCTTTGAAGCGGGAAGAACAAATCAAGGAGTGGGGCGTGAGGCCCATTTGGAGTTACAGAAGACTTTAAAAATGATGAACCAATAAGGCTTGAGCCAAGTGGGAAGAGGTCCTCATTAGAGACTTTTCATGAGGGGTTCACATCTTAGATTAGATCTCAACCACCCATAGAGTGATCCAAGGGTTAAGAAAGGCTAAAGACCTAGCCTAGCTAATCATCATTGATGGTTATCACATGGATGGTGATTAATGAACACACCCTTATCACCATAACCACATACCACCTACACACACTTCCAACAATTTCATATGTGCCCTTTATCCTTATTTTTCAAAATAAATGAATCTCACCCATTCATCTTTTAACCAACAAATCACAACTATTAATAAAATATTTCTCATTCAAATTTCAAATGGGGGTGGCGTGCCACGCATTCCTTCCTTAATTGGTGGCTTAAGTTTCCGTCCAATTAACCATCGAAGTGTCATTATCAAGGGGGGACATGACATCATCATATGCCATGATGTGTCCCTTTATCTTCTTCACACCAATAAGAAACCCCCATTTCCAATCCTTAAAAGTATAAGCAAATCATAAAATTAAGAGATAAATTAATTTAAGAAAATGTAGAATCTCTACATTCCCACATGTGAACTCACACATGTACCATAAAACACATTACACTTATCAATATTATGTCTTATATCCAAACAAGGACCCCATGTCTGGTGGAATCTTTACATTCCCACATATGAACTCACACATATCTCAACACTTCACACATATGTATAAAATACATTACACTTATCAATGTTATGTCTTATATCCAAAACCTAAAACTAGACATGGAACCCTTATTGAGATATCAGACATAACATTGATAAGTGTAATGTGTTTTATGGCACATATGTGAAGCGCGTATGTAGAGACATGTGTGAGTTCACATGTGGGAATGTAGAGATTTCACATTTTCTTAAATTAATTTATCTCCTAATTTTGTGATTTGCTTATCCTTTAAGAATTTTAAATGGAGGTTTCTTATTGGTGTGAAAGAGATAAGGGGACACATCATGACATATGGTGATGTCATGTCCCCCCTTGATAATGACACTTCAGTCACTAATTGGAGTGCAAGTTAAGCCACCAACTAAGGAAGGAATGGGTGACATGCCACCCCTATTTGAAATTTGAATGGGTGATATTTAATTAATGGTGGTGATGTGTTGGTTGACAAATGAATGGTTGAGATTCATTGTTTTTGAAAAATTAGGGTTAAAGGGAACATATGATATTATCGGAAGAATGTGGAGGTGGTATGTGAGTATGGTGATAAGGGTGTGCTCATTAATCACCATCCATGTTATAGTCATGAATAGTGATTAGCTAGGCTAGGTCTTTAGCCTCTCTAAACCCTTAGATTACTCGATGGATGGTTGAGATCTAATCCAATATGTGAACCCCATATGAAAAATCTATAAATAAGACCCCTTCCCTTTGGCTCCCGGTTTTGTTAGTTCATCTTTGAATTCATCTTTTCTCCAAAAGGGCCTCACGCCCCACTCCTTGAGCTTTTCTCTAATCCACTTCAAAAATATTATTTTGAGTAGCCAACCCCTTTGATTTTTGTTAAGCCTATGTTCATGTTGGTCTTTTGTTCTATGCTTCATCACACACCATTAAGCCAATTTTTTTTTGTTGTTATGCCTAAGAAATGTTGCTGGAAATTCTCATGATCCCCCTCCGCAATACCATCTCTAAGATCCACATAGACTCACCCCTTTCATGCTCTTCTCCCATGATGAAGTATGGTGCCTACGACTTCATCACGCACCACTTAATCCATGTTTAGCTGCTGTTATATCAACTTTATACTGCTGGAATTTTGTGACCACAATAAGCATCTCTCATAAGTTTTCTTTTAAAGTGGTTTAGTGTTAGAGAAATAAGGGCCTATTACTTTGTGTTTTGCTAATATAGTTTTTATACTATTTTGTGCAAACTGTTGAGACTTCTATGTTGCTGGAAATGCTAACATAGAAGCATAACAGTAAGCTCTCCCTTGGCTCCATACACCAAACTTGGTCATTTTGGTCCCGTAGTGGTTAGAACCCTTGAACCAAACTCTAGGGCTGAAACTATTGCGTTTTGAGCCCATTTTAGCCCCGAATTCTCCCCATTTGTTTCACAATCTTATACCCAACCTTGAGTTATTTTTGGGATCTATATTAATATGAGAACTAAGTCATGTGGTAATAAAATTAATTTGCTTTTCGAGATTATATCGAAACCGGACCCTTCTTGCGCTATCGAGAGTAAGTGACAGACAATGATTATTTATACCGTTGCGGTATTCGCACGGTGGTTATTGTGAAATTGGCTTCCTATTGGACACTTTAAGCTCGTGCATATTGTTACTTTAGTCTTAATTTTGTTGTATTTTGTTTCATTTTAATTGTAAGAAACCATGCTTGAATTATAAGGGCATAGTTGTCGTTGAAGACGATTGTAATTTTTATTGTCATAGTTTGCAGTAAGTAGGGGTTTTCCCAAGGTGAAATGAAGGATTATGTAAGTCTTTTGTAAGATTTTTTATTTTATATACCTTGTGCGATTCCCTCGATACTACTTCAATTAGTATCAAAGCTGAGGTATTTTCTAGGATTTTAGTGTTGTGCCTTGAGCTTAAGTAAGGTCGCAAACGGAACTTTGACCGATTTACACAACTAACAAAAGGATGGGAAGTTTAATGAGACAAATTGTTTTAATGGAAAAGGAAAGTGGGAAAAGTCTTGCATAGTGAAAAGTCTCAGGACTATCATATCCCAGGCTCCTCCGACTGAGCCTTGAGGATATGCAGCTCTGGCAGCTAGAGACGTCTATGGTGCTTAGGGTCTCTATGAATCAATAGGGCCTTAGCCACAATGACTAAGGCATATGCAAGGGAATCACACAAGGTATGTTTTGAGAGAATCACACCAGGGCCCATGTCACCCACAATGACCAAGGCATGGAAGATTTGCCGCAAATTGATGCCAAAAACAACAATATGTGGGAGACTATGCAGGTGCAACATGAGGGTTTAAGGAAATCAATGAAATGGGCTTGAGAAAGAGCTATTAGCTGTAATTTGTATGAGATGAGAGGTTTCAGTCAACTCTGAAATGCCATGGAGTTCCTTCAAAGTTGGTATGGAGTAGGGCAAATGTGTGGAGCATGTAAAATGAAGTGGTGATAAGATGGGCTAAAGCTTATGGGCCATATTATGCCCTACAAGGACCATGGAAGGATCTTTCTCTTTCTCTCTATAGGTGGGGTGTGGAAGGCTATAGGGTTCTCTGTCACTCAATTTGGGCAGCATAACATTGCAATAAGAAGTGTGTTCAAAATGGGAGGTGAGGACCCGATCATGTGTCTAAAAGATTCTTAAAGAGGTGCAATATTGGCACTTGATTTAGGAGATCTATGATATGTGAGAGGCTTCAATCCAAGCC